CGGATAGCTTTTTCCCAGCAGGCTCATTTTTGGCCTAAAATATGATACAGATAGAAATGGTTGGTGGACTGGGTCTCCTCCCTTGTACACTTCATTTGGAGCCACAATAGGCAACAGGTGCCTCACCTTCTCTACGGAGATCATTCTTCCATGCAGCTCCGTTCTGTGCAGGTGGCTGATGCACTTGGTAGCCTCGTCAGAGGTGGACATGGTGACAAACCCGTAGCACCGAGCCCCAGGACTGCGGGCGTTGGTTACCACCTTGGCCCCGACAACCTTCATAAAAAGGATCTGCTTAATCTCTCTCACAAATAACCACACAACTTACTACAATTCTTAGCAAGTAACTGATAAGCAGAATCATTTCCACCGTTTGTTCTTTTCCTCAAATTGTTAGTTTTTCATAAATTTATTATTGAATTAGTTCTAATTACTGCTGACCTATCAAAACACAATTGCTTTTGATACAAGATCAGTCGTCATAGTGCAGAAACAAATAGGCAAAGTTAAAAGACTGTTAACCTCACTCACGACTCATGATAATGACAAGTCCTCCGTTTGGATCATTTTCTCCACTTCCGCTGGAGCCAAGGCTAGGCGAGGGGTTGCCTACTCACAAGTGCACCTGCCTGTGCTGGCTCAGGCTGAGAACAGCTCTGACACAGATGAGGACTGTCAAGCACGTTCCCACAGGGAGGGGACTTCACTTCCCGCCAAGACGGAAACCCAAGCATTGCCTTTGTGCTTCAAACAACTAAAAGGCCGGATGAAATGTAGGCAACAATGGTTTTCAGAGACTGGACATCACACTGCCTGAGAGAGCTGTGTCACTGCCCTGCCCCTGCTCATGGCCTGCAGGTGCCAGGCACAGGTCAGGACAAGTAACTGAGGTGGGCAGTATCCCTGAGCTGAGGAGACACAGCTGAGGTCAGGAGACCAAGACAGAGAGAAATCAGAGAGCTTGAGAGATCTGACCAGGGTGTCTCCTGCCCAGTGCATGTGTGTGAGGAAACCAGAGGCTGAGAGAGAACCACCCATGAGGGGCAAAGGAAACAATGCCAGGGGTTCACTCAGGACTCACTGCAAACAAGTTGCTTTTCCCTATAGCCAGAGTGGAAAAGTTGCTAATTGACAGGGTACCAGACACAGTACTTGAAAGGTACTGGCCCAGTAGTGTGGACAAAATTAGCCTGAATTAATACTATTCTGTTTCTGACTTCTAAAGCATAAAAGTAAGCCTCAGAAGGTTCAAACTCTGTCAAATACATTAGCTGCATCCAGAAAAAAAGCTCAAGAGAATAGAAATATGAGAATAACTAGCATCCAGTGGGAACTTGGAGGCACAACCAAAAGCATGAAGAGCACATGGCACGGTGACCTTGTCTTCCTCTTGTTATTTAGAAATCTCTCTAAAAGTTACCTGTCCAAAGCAAAAAAGCCAAATCAGAAAAAAACAAAGCCAATAATGTATTGGGTGGGTTATTAAATAGAAGGAAAATATATGACAGTAATATCACAAAGATTGGGAGAGGGAAGTGGAAGTGAACTCTTGGGAAGTTCTGGTACTGCACTCGAACCAGGATGACATCGTGTGGAGATACACAGTAAGCTGAGATGCGCACTGCAAATCCTAAAAAGCAACCACGGAAGAACAACACAACAGAGGTATCGCTAAGCAGCCACAAATGATAAAGATTCGGTCCACAAGACGGCAGATTAATAAGAAAAAGGGATCAATGAATAAACAGGATGAAGAGAAAACAGAGAGGAGGACAGTAGCTTTTTTTTTTTTCTTCTTAAGACAAAGTCTTGCTCTATTGCCTGGGATACAGTGCCATGGCCTCAGCCCAGCTCACAGCAACGTCAAACTCCTGGGGGCTCAAGCGATCCTCCCGCCTCAGCCTCCCAAAGTGCTGGTACTACAGGCCTGAGCCACTGTACTCAGCCAACATATTATTCCTTAAATGTTGCTTTTTCCACCAGACAACTAAAACACCGATGACAACAGTGACCATACATGTGTCCGCTTCTGCTTTACCATCACTGTCTCAGTCAAGGAGAACATCAACAAAATAACCAAATAAATAGGTTACATATGGCTCTAAGTTTTCTAAGCCCTTCTTAAAGATATTGTTGAAAAAGGAAATGAATGTGTTTTCTGGGGCCCGTCTGAAGTCACTGAACCATTAACCGACACCTGATCAGGTGACACAGACCTAGACAAAGGAACGACTTCTGCAGCCAGGATAAGGTGCATCAGACAGGCTCTGAAGCTCTGCCTGGAATCCCTGTACCTTCCAGATGCTAAGAGGTACTGAGCCTTTCTCCCTTGAGGGGGGCCACTCGCACAGGCACCCAGAACACCAGGGCAGTTCTAACTGCTTATCATGAGACTTTCGTTAATTGATTCCAAGACAATGGTATCCCCTTAAATCATCCTTCAAGTTCCTTTGGGAGGCTTGTGAATTGCAATATTTTTGTCCTGCCTCCATAAGCACCAAATTGGCGACTTGTTTTTTAAACCAATGTCATGTTCTAGTTACCACACAATACATTTCAAATACTAGAAGATGTATAAGTCAATTATTCACTAATTCTTAAAGGGAAAATTCAGTATGCTAGCTTTAAACTTTGAGTAAGACAAAAGATGATCAGTTTTGTTAAGAAAAGTTAGAAACAACAACAGCAACGTTTACATAGTAGCTATTTATACACATTTTCTGAGCAGGGTTATAATATAACTCATCTGTTCCACTTGATATCCTGATTACTGTGAACCAGGAAACAAGGCACATGACACAAAGGTGAGAGGGGTTTCTCAGGTTTGTTAAAAGAAAAAAAAAAAAAAAAAAAAAAAACCCGGCCGGCGCGGTGGCTCACGCCTGTAATCCTAGCACTATGGGAGGCCGGGGCGGGCGGATCGTTTGATCTCAGGAGCTCCAGACCAGCCTGAGCAAGAGCAAGACCCCGCCTCTACTAAAAAAAAATAGAAAGAAATTAGCTGGACAACTATATATATATGAAAAAACCAGAAAGGAGAACCAATAAAATTAACAACAAGAAGTAAATTCTGGAGTTTCTTTTTTAACCCATATTGAGGCCGCCTGGCAAGAAAGATGCAAGGGCAGGCATACCTTTCCATGTTTGCTGAAAAGGTTCTTCAGATCGGTCGCCCGAGTGGTGGAGGATAGCCCGCTGACCCACAGGTTCCTTCCAGAACTGCTGCTGCCTCGACCTGCGGTGAGATGAGAATTATACTTTAACTCAATGTGTAATGGGAAGCACCTCCATTCTTAAGGCTGGAGCCCTCTTCTAAAGTCCTAACTACATCCAGCCCCTACTGTTCTGATTCAAGAATTCAATTCACACATAAACACTCGCACCAAAACACAGGACAGAAGACTGAAAATTCCAACAGCAAAACCGGAGTTTCTTTACCCAAGGAATAATCATGTCCACATCAGTTATAAACTGAAGTGTCTTTTGATGATCCGTTCTGCAACGACACAACAGGCTCTAAAAATTCTTACTCTTCTCCAACGGACACAATTATTCCTTTCTTGTAATGGGCTTTATACTACCCCATAAATGACAACCACTGTAGAAACATGAAACGCAGACACTCACAAACACTTAAAACTTGTCTCTCAAGAAACCACCAGGTGGTTAATTCCAGCAACCCGCAATAAAACAATTAAATCACTGGATCCAAAGTGAGGGGATCTGCAGGCCCCTCCTCCCAAAATAAGGGATCCACACATGGCGCCCTGCCTCCCAAGTTAATTCGTACCTTTTTCATCTTTAATGACTGGCTTTATATCTTTTTCTTCCTTAAAAGAGCTAGAGACAAAAGTTAATGTTACTCATACAGGAAAAAAATGAAAGAGAACAAAATTAAAAGTATGGTATGTGCTAAAACTGAATACCTACCAGAAAATTAGTCTGAAATAAAATCTTAACAGACAACCTTTGCAAGTTTATATTGAAAAATCTGACCCCAAAAATACAATGTCAGATTCGTAAAAGGCAATTCGATTTAGCTGAAGATAACTAACAATTTAAGAACACAACCATGGTAGGTTGAGAACAAGAAAAGAAACTGAATCAACCATTAAAAATACACAAAGAGAAATAAGACATTCTTTAGAAGCAAAACTACAATTTCATCAGTCTGGCTGGCCAATTGCAGAAAAACAGCTTATGTGTGTCATTAAATGACCAATGGAAAGGAGATAGCGTCTGGTCTAAAACTGAGAAAAAACAAACCTCATTTTCTGATCAGCGCCCTCACTGGTTGAGGACTCTTTAGGAGCCGGAGGGACTTCATTACAAGCTTCAAAATCAAACTTCTTCTCGTCTTCTTTGCTATCTCTGCCTTCTGGACTTGGGGCTTCTGTGGGCGCTTCTGCGACCTCGTGGCTACAGGCCTCCGCGTGCTCGGAGGCTGCACTACTCTGCTCAACTGCCGGCTCTAGCCCTACAGGCTCACAGTCAGTCCTCTCGCCATCGTCTGGCTGCTCCACGGGCTCCCTTTTCACTACCGCTAACAGGCTGTCTGCCTTGCACGACTGAGCGTGTGTTGACTCGCTGGGCAAATCTAAATCACCCTCCTCCGGATGGGCGCTGTCAAAAAGGTCCTCTTCCTCCGCGAGCTCTCTGTCTGGCCTCTCGCTACTTGTATCCTGTGCAAATGGCTGCTCCAGCTCGGAACCTTCTTCTTTTACTGGCTCAGATTTACAAGTTTCCCCCAAAATGTCGAGTATTTTCTCATTTTCTACGGATTTAACAGGAATAGAATGGCACAAGGTTTAATTACCAGGGAAATAAAGCAATCACAAATGCGGAACTGGCACGGCTGCCACACTAACACGAAGAGAACTGCTAGCTACACAGAGATTGGAAAACCCGCGGGTGTGCAAAGTTACACTGGTTACACTACCTGCGCTCCGACCGACTGCTACGTTAGCCTCTACGCTACATGGAAGAGAAAAGGCCCCCACAGATTTAAACACCTACAACCATGTGTCTGCTTCTCGACAGTCTTCTTCGAGTTTTTGTTCAAGTCTGGGTCTTCTGACTGATTTTCCAATGTCCAAGGTGCTGAACCGAATGCAATCACCATTCAATGACAGCTCAATTTCCAAATTTCTTTGAATTTCTTTTAACAGAATTTCTTTTAACAGAACAGTCCAATATGAAAACCAGAAACTCTTCCGGCGGTGGGAGATAAACGCAGTCCAGAAGGGGAATAACATGTTGAAAATTTTCATGAAGAAACTCTGTTTGCTCTTGTGGAATCCAGTCACTTTTCAGGTTCTAAGTGCCCTGACAACAGTTTTATCCTGCTTTAACTGCATTAATCAAAAAGACTGCAGCAAAATATCACAAGATCTGTGATCATGTGTAGAAACACATGGAAGAATCTCGGGGGGAGGGGGAATTAAATGCCACTCTACGTGGTTAGAGGTGAAAATAATCACTATATCTCACCAAATATATCTGACCTCAAGAAGCCAGAAAGGCACGCCCACAGATCTGGTGATACGCATGGGTTTCCAATCTCTGATCCTCGTACGATCTGGATTGTCCACCATTAGCGCCATTTACAAGACCATAACACAGCTTAAAATATATACAGCTTTCAAATCATAGTAGCATGAAAACTTGCAAACCATAACTGTCGCGTTTCTCTTATCAGTACCTGGCTCCAAGACAGGGTCTTCAACATCCTATTTAAAAAAGAAAAAGCAAATCCGCAAGTCACTTTAAAAACTGGGGCAGATACATTTCCCTAGCAAAAATAGCTTTCTGTGAGTAAATGCCTATTTCTAAATAACTTTCTCCTTTCAAAAAATTATATTCCAATCCAAATACCTTGATGAAGACAAGCTTACTCTGCCAGTTTCTCTGGCACCAGCGTGTCGGCAGTGGCAATGCTAAGCCTGTCCGATTCTTTCCTCGGAGTCTGGCCCCTGCACCATCCCCCCCAGTGGTCACTGCAGCTGGCAAAGACTCCCAGTCAAAGCAGAGGTCACACAGGAGACCACCACTACACATCACACCACACTGAAGAAAAAGGCATTTCTCCCAACATAAAACTGTTATTGTAACCAGAACCCTTTATCTTTAACACAATTGTGTCTCTCCATCCTGCTGAAAAAAACTTTTCCACTCAGGACCTGAGGTCAAGTCCTTCCTGTGGCTCAGACCATGGGGCAGGCCCCCCTGCTTCGCAGCTCCACCCCTGGCCTCCCCGCTATTCCCACCCTGCCCCCAGGCCACTGCCCACATCTTCTGCTCCCAATTCTCCTTTCCCCCCTCACCCGGCTAATGGCAGACCTGTATGTCAGGTCTGGATTCAGATAGGACATCCCCTGGCAAGTCTTCTAGTTGCTTCTGCAGTCCAATCCCCTGAACTGCTCCCTCCTGGCACCTCTTTTCCCTTCCAGTCACGTGCCTGGTGGCTTTGTAACACTACACTGCACACTCTGAGACTGCATCTGTTTTGCTAACCTCTTATCTCCCGCACCTAGCTCGGTATCGATGCTCAACTAATCATTTTTATATGCACAGAGGAGCACACACACAAACACTCTCTCTCACTCTCTCTTTTCTGTAACGAATAATCGACCACTCATTTAAAGTTTCCAGCAATGCAGAATGCAAGGGCAACTTACTGGAGTTACTTTGAAGTCCAACGATGAAGTTTCCAAAGCGTTCTCGAATCCTTCTCCATCCACCTGAAAAACAAAATGAACATTACTTTGTGGAGACCACAGCTGTGAACGCAGAGGCCTACACCTCACCTTCTACGCAATCTGTGCCTATTTCCCTCACAGCACCTGCCACCATATGCAACTCTACCGCTGGACGACGCAGTGTAGCACCTCCCTCCCTGCCAGAACGCACGCTCTAAGACTGCTACACCAGCGTCTGGGACGATGGCTTGCAGATGGTAGGCTCGCTCTGCCTGTATTGGCTGAATGCACTTCCCAGGCAGTTTCTAAGTGCTGATGATCAACATACCCAACCACAGGACTTCCAAAGCAGAACTAGAAATGACAAACTCTGCACTCCTCCGATTTCACTTCACAGCAATACCTGCAGTTGCCCAATATGCTACCCTAGCCCAAGGTGTGGTAAATTTGGAGTTCGTGACTTTTGACCCTAAGTCTTAAAGTTCAGTCCTACAAGGGCATTTACCCCCAAAGTTGAAAGCTGTAACACATTAAGTAAATAAAACCACCAGCTAAAACAGCTGGGCATGTGCAGTCAGATTAAAATGCTAATCAGTCCTAGGACAGTGACCCTATCCTAGAACTGTCAGTTCTAGATGTTTGAACAGTCTCACCAGAGAGCTCTACACCAAAATATTAGGAGTGAGAAGTTGGGAAAGGTTTATAGACATTAAAGCCCTCCTGGAGTGGCATGGTGGCTCCTGCCTGTAATCCCAGCCAAGGCAGGGGGATCGCTTGAGTTCCAGAGCCCTTCTTTACACACCAGGATGTGAACAGTGAATCCCCTGGGGAGAGGGGTTCCTGGGTGCAGGGGGACTTTTCTTCACCTTGCTTTATATCTTTTAACACAATTAACCTTGTGCAATAGAGCACGCTGAAACACAATCAACAGGAGTATCTGCATGATATGATTATGAGCCATTTTTGTTTTTTAAAACTATTTTTAATGGCTCACGCCTGTAATCCTAGCTCTCTGGGAGGCCGAGGCGGGCGGATTGTTTGAGCTCAGGAGTTCAAAACCAGCCTGAGCAAGAGCGAGACCCCGTCTCTACTAAAAATATATAGAAAAATTAGCCCGGCATGGTGGCGCATGCCTGTAGTCCCAGCTACTCGAGAGGCTGAGGCAGGAGGATCGCTTGAGCCCAGGAGTGTGAGGTTGCTGTGAGCTAGGCTGACGCCACGGCACTCTAGCCCGGGCAAAAGAGTAAGACTCTGTCTCAAAAAAAAAAAAAACAAAACAAAACTATTTTTAAAAGGAAAGACCTTTTATTAACGGTTAGCCTTCTATTTTATGACTTTATAGCATGCTTAGAAAGTGTCTCCCCACCAAACATCACATGACGCTTCTCGGTGAGTATAAAAAGCTGTCCATTAGTTGACACGTGACCCACGTGGAGTTTAAATGCGTATGATTTACCACCAGGGTTTAGACACTGAATTATGTGCTCATGGTGATTTAGCTGCAGCCTCCCTCACAGAAGCAGCACGTGACCGCCGTGGTGCCTCAGGGCTGCTGGCACATTCTGCCGGGTGTCCAAGTTACCTACAGCATGCTCTGGGAGCGGAGCCGGAAGCTGTCTCAGTTGTGCCGCCACGTATTCTTTACTGTCACACAAGGAATCGAGAATGCTGTCGGTGCCGTCCTCCCCAAAATCTGGAGAACTGCTATTCTCGCCTTCAGTCTCGTCTAGCACGCTAATGTCCATCATGTCAATGCTCTGCAAGTTGTCCAGGCTGGCTTCCATGTCCTCCTGTGAAGAGCAACGAGATGCACAGACGACCAGGCGGACCAGAACGCAGAGCTGTTGCTGTCATCTCCACTCTGACCCCACATACCTGCCCGTCTCTGGGGTCTTCTTCCAGGCCGTTATCTTCTGTGCCTTCCTCCTCCATCTTCTGTCCTGATTATAGAATAATTGTCCAATCAGCTAACACCCAAGTTCCAGAATCATCATTAGTTTACGCAAAATAACAGATTTCAATCTTAGAACATGTTATAAGAGAAAATAAAAAAAGTACTCGTTCGTCTACCTAATTTTGCCTCACTTGGTATTCTAAGTAAGCTATCCACAGGGACGTGAAAATCTAGGATTCCTGTCAAATTATCAAAATGTTTTGATTTTCCACAAAATATCTAAAGGCTTCAAGAGATTTCAAAACCACTCTGCACTAAGACAAATATCACAAAAGAAAAAGCAGCAAAGAACAAAAACACGAATTTTTCAAGCAAGCAAAAAAAAAAAAAAGTAATACCCACCCAGTAATCAGCCCAAAAAGTAACATGTTGGATTAGTAACTGGCTGGTTCTCCCTATGTTCCACCCACTGGAACAGACTGCCCCCTTTGTCACTCAATATGTATAACAAGGAATCCAAAACATAGGTATTTAGTCTATCTAAAAAGTATATACAGCCTATATATCCAAAAGGGAAACAAATTATGGCACATTTTTCTCCCTTTGTGGTTCTCAACGGAGGGACTGGGGTATAATTGGGCAATGTCTGCAAATCTCTCTGGTTGTCATGACTTGGGGGTATGCTGCCGACATCTGGTGGCCAATGGTGCCACTCATGGGCCTAGAACACCCAGGAATTACTCAGCCCAAAGTGGCAACAGAGCCAAGGCACAGAAACTCTGTTCCACAATGCCTTGTGACATCACAAAAATTTGTGCTTTTCTATTTTTTCTCTTTTACCATAAACTTAATAAAGTGGTACAAAAATATTTATGCTTTTAAAGAATATTTAAGGACAGGATAATGCCCATGAGGTAAACATAGAAAAATAGACATCTACTTTTATGAAAAGCACGTTTGTGCATATGCAACTGTCAGGATGCAACTGTAAAACATACAGATGGATAGGACCATCTTCAACAGTGGTTAAAACATTGAGTGGTTAAGAATAGACATAACTTTATTTTCACATGCAGACTTTTTACATTTTCCAAATTACCTAAAAGTATTATTTTTATAAGTTTTTAAAATAAGACAATTAACCATAAAAACCCTCAATGTTTGACTAAAAGATCCAACCAGCTGTGTCTACCTTAAGAATCTCATTGACCATTCTCATCAATAATTATTCAAGGAATGTAGTTTTATTATGTGCGAAGCACTGCGAGCTTTACATTTCATTATTTCACACTCCTGAAAATGCTAGCCGGTTTCATTACGTGCAGTTGACACACCAGAATTTGCTTCAGCTCCAAAGCTGAGACTCAGCCATCCCATTTCCCATTGTATCTAAACATGGCATATCCTCTTGAAATACTCTGTCTAAAAATGTTTCCTAATTGCACCCAATTTCTGTGTCTCTAAATAGCAGCCTGCAGTGCCCACAGTGGATGCAAACAGGAGAAATGGGAAAGAAAAAAAAAAAAAAAGCCAAGGCTCAGTGGACAGGCAGCACCCCGACCCAAGCGCCTGGCCTCCTGTGACTAAAAGTTGAAGGCTCGGGAGACACAGGGGTAAGAAAATCCAATTTGAACCCCACGTATAACCTAAAGCTTTTCAATTTTTAATCAAAATTTTGATCTTTCAAAACCCACCTGCAAGTTTCTGATAATTTTGCCTGTTAGGTGAGTGATAAATCTTACACCGATTCACGATGAAGTTTTCTCTGAGAAAGTTTGGCTACTTCCTACTTTGGAAAGGAGGTGGCAGTCAGTGGTGAGTTCCCAGAGTGAGTCCAACTCTGGCCTAACTGAACTTTATGTACCGTAGCATCTCGAAAACAAATGAGTAGGTCCTCCTAATCCAACACTTTATATAATCACAGACCCTAATTGCAACCACGAAGCCATAAGGGTCTCACACGTCCTATACTAACCACGTGCCCAGATACCTCCAGAGAACATGGCTAGCTCAAGGTAGAACACTGAGACCGGCAGAGACTGAGCTCTGCCTGAGGACCTAGGCCACCTGCTTCTTCTCTCTGAGCTGGGTTACTTCTCTGAAAAAGGAATGGGAAAGGACCAGAAGCCCTCTGAATGCCCCCTACTACAGCAGAGGCCAGAGACATTTTCTTTATATCCATGGAAGTAATTGTCGCCCTTCCTGACAAAATGCTAACTCCAAGTAGTTTGATTGGACCTAAGCTTTGATGCAGACATCCAGACAGGTGATTAAAGCACTCCAGCAAAGAGTAGTTTCTCTAATGATGCAAAACATCCCTGTTAAGAGTCGAGAACATCTCATAAGTGTTGAACTTTACAATTATAAACGAGCACCTACACTGAAAAGTTGCAAACTATATTGCTAAGCAGTTTTTACAACTATTCAAAACACACTCTCAGATCACAGATAACACCTAAGCAGAAGTATTTCTATTCTATTCCTAAACATATTCTATGTTTCCTGCATGAGGCCAGTCCCTCATGTTCTGCATCTGCTGGGACAGTGTTTCCAGCTGAAATATGGACAGCTACAGGAAGAGCAAAAACATACCAATGTCTCTAAGTTTTAACTTAAATTCCACATGTAACCTAACTAAAAATCTAACCTTTAAAAACACACGTACAAGTTTCAAACAGTTAGATGTATTTATGGAAAAGTAGTGCTTCTAGGAAAAGCCATTTTAAAAAAAAGAAAATTGTTAAAAATGCTACCATTTCTTTTTACTTTCAAAGCAGATATTCTCCACTGTCTGAATTTAGCACTTCTCCAGATGAAAGGAACCCATACAGTTGTGAGAATTTCCATACAGTACCCCTCAGAAACAGGCCCACTGCGCAAGAGTCTGAAATTACATTGGCCTTATCACTGTAAAATCTAACAAGGAGGATGATACCAATTAGGACAGTCAAGGTTTCAAAGTTTTATAAACACTTCCAAAAATAGCTGCTATGAGCCATTAAAAGGAATGACGTACCAATACACATTACCACAGGGATGAACCCTGAAAACACCGTAAGTGATAGAAGCTGACAAAAAACACCACACACTGTATGATTCCTTCTATATGAAACGTCGAGAACAGGCAAATCTATAATGACAGGGATGGAGTAGTTACTAAGGGGACAAGGCTTCCTTCTGAGGTGATGAAAATCTGGAATTAGATAGTGCCAGTGGGTGCACAGCCTTATGAATATTGTAAAAAGCACTGAATTGTACACTTTTGTCATGTGAATTCTTTATTTCAGAATATTTTGGGGTTACAAACATTTTGGTTACATATAACGCCTTTGCCTCGCCCAAGCCAGGGCCACAAGCATGCCCTTCCCCCATGCAGTGTGCTCCGCATCCACTGCTCGTGAGTTTACCCACCTCACCACCCTGCTCCCACCTGACCGGCACCCATGAATATTACTTCCATGTGAGCACCTTAGTGTTGATCAGTTAGTACCAATTTGATCGTGAGTACACGTGGTGCTTGTTTTTCCATTCTTGGGACACCTCACTTCGAAGGATGGGCTCAAGCTCTATCCAGGATAATACAAGAGGTGCTAGTTCACTGGTCAGGTCAATTTAATGGTTTATGAATTGGACCTTAATTTCAAAAACCACACTGGGGGCTGGGTGTGGTGGTGTAATGCCAGCACTTTTGGAGGCTGAGGTGAGAGGACCGATTGAGGCCAGGAGTTGGAGGCCAGCCTAGGCAACAGAGTGAGACCCCGTCACTACAAAAAATAGAAAAATTAGCTGGGCATAATCGCTCACGCCTATAGTCCCAGCTACTCAGGAGGCTGAGGCAGGAGGATTGCTTGAACCCAGGCATTTTAGGTAGCAGTGAGCTATGATGATGCCACTGCATTCTACTCCAGGCAATAGAGGAGACCCTGTCTCCCCACGAAAAAATACATGCTGGTAAAAAATATGCTCAGTGCAAATACCCCAGCAATCTGTTTTGGATGCTAGAGAAGCTGGATTCTATTCTGTATCAGCTTGGTGTCATTTTCCTACAGTTAACACTTAATTTTTTGAACCAGGAAGGAAGCCAAGCAGGTGCATTTAGTTTCTCAGACCAGGTGGGGCAGCTTTAAGAGTTTGTTTTCCGCTAGTTCTTTTGAAATCCCAACAACAGAAAGGGAAATGTTTTTACTATATTTTCATTTTATTTGGCACCAATACATGTCTACTCCTGCCCACACCCTTGATTCAATTACTTGTTAGGTGGTGAAGAGCAAGTCTAATTCTTAGAAGGGAGACACTGAGGGCCAGAGCTGTTCTGCTTGTGGCCTAGTGGGCTCAAAGAGTGCTACAAACACTGTTTCTCTAAGTTCTCTAACCACTCAAGCCTGAAGGACAAAAGAGTACATGTGTGTGTACCTTTAGCACATCTCTTCGTCGTCTTTTTGCTTGTGGCTTCTAAGTCGATGCCAATTTCATCAGGATCTTGACCTTCCTCCTTAACTGCCTGTAAGACAGAAATGAATTTTTACAATGTTATTGGGATGAGGCACAGCACACACTGTTCTTTGTAGGTAACAACTTCTCAATAAACAAAGGCAAACCTATCCTTGCAAAGAGCAACTCTGGTTCTCTCATTTGTGCTGCAAGCCCGAAAAGGAATAGGATGAACCCAGCACAATGTGGTTCTCTCTGATCCAAAGGCCAAAAGACAAAGGAAGGGAAGAGAGGCCTTGAGCCGGTGCTTGTGAACTGGGGTCCGTGACCAGTTCCAAAACGGGCACTGACCTCCACACTGCCCAACCTCCTACTTTAAAGTTACACAACAGAACAAATAATAACAGAGAGGCTGCTGGGGAGAGAAGGGCTAGTGACCTCTGGGCTGGAAGAACAAGCAGCAGCCTAGGCACAGGGGTGAGTGGTGGTTCTACTCTACAGGTCTCTTGGTGCCTTCCACCTGCACAAGACTGGAATGGACGCTCGCAAGGTCCCTACCCTCACAGACCGTGTTTCAGTTGGGGAGACAATCCCCAGGGACACAAGTTTGTGTCAAGTACTGCACGGTGGAGTGTAAACACAGGATGGTGCCACACACAGGAACAAGGACGTGCAGCAGCACTTCTGGAAAACCATGTCTCAGTTCTAAAATGACAAGGTGCCAGCCAAGGGGAAGACAAGGGGGACCAGCAGTCGGGGTGGCTAGGCGCACAGTAAGTGCAAAGGCCCTGAGGCAGCAACAAGCACCGCCCCCTTTTACTGTAAACTCCTAGCGATGCTTCAGACACCCATTTTCCGGAGGAGGAAACTGAGAAACGGAGATGGAAAGGCACCTGCCCAAGGTCACAGAGTTAAATCTGGACCGGGAGCCCCGGGAAGAGGGTCCAGGGGCCACCCTGGAAGCCAAGAAAACTGCATTTTAAGCGCACAGAGAGGAATGGCTGAAAGAAGAGTAAAAAGCGAGGCACAGAGAGGGCCGGTGACTACCCAAGGTCACACAGCCGGGCCCCTTCTGGTGCCGACACCTCGGGCCCTGGGCGCCCCACAGGGGGGCGGACCGGGGGCGCCCGAGTCCTGGAGCCGCGGTGACAGGTCCGCGCTGGGGCGTCCCCGGGCCTCCTGCGTCACCCCGGATCTTCAGCCCGTCTCACCTTCTTGAGCCGCTCCATCAGGACGCTCTTGTTGCCGCCAGTGTCCAGGTTCCGCTTCTTCAGCTCCGCCCGCAGATCTATCACGCGCAGATCGCTGAGCCGCCGCGTCCCGGTCTCCGATGCGACCGAGCCCAGAGCGGCCGAGCCAGGGCCCGAGTCGTCCGGCCCTGCCACAGCCTCCGCCATCCTCACCTGCCCTTCTCCGCCACCGACTCTTTGCCTCACCGGCGGCGGCTGTAGCTGCTCTGAGCACAAAATGGCGCCGCCTAAGAGGAAAACGCACTGGCTTCCTCCCGCCCCGCTTTGCGGCCGCGCATGCGCACCGCTCCGACCTGCGTCCCAAGCAGCTGGCGCGCTTGTGCGACGGCCAAGCGCACGCTCCCGGCCACGACGCGCCGGCACAGTAACTGCGGCACCCAGATATCCCGGCAGCTCGCGGCGGGAGGCTGCGGAGGCTTATCGCGCCTGCGCACAGCCCGGAGAGTCTCTCATGACGCATGCGCATATGCAACTGTGAGTGAGAGGCCACCTCGTCGGGTGCGCCTGCGCAGGAGCGAGGCGCGCCGGAGCAGTTACAGCGGTTCCTTCACAGGTAGCGCCATTTTGTGCTAGGAGCCGAGCTAGAACCGGGCCGGTTGTGTGCAAAGTGGGCGGCGGAGCCAGGGGCCCTGGAATGGCGGAGACTCTGTCGGGCCCAGAAAAATCGGGTGCGGCGGGCGTAGCGGCTCTGAGCTCCGCCTCGTCGGAGACCGGGACGCGGCGCCTCAGCGACCTGCCGGTCATCGACCTGCGGGCGGAGCTGAGGAAACGGAATCTGGACTCGAGCGGCAACAAGAGCGCGTTGATGGAGCGGCTGAAAAAGGTGGAGCTGGGGTCCCGTGGATCGGGGTAAAGCGCGGGTGAGGGGTCCCGGCGGCCGCGACTCTGGTCCCCTGGCCCGGGCGCGCGTTCAAACCCTGGGGGCGAGGAGAAGAACGGAAAAACGGGACGCGGGCGGGAGACGCCGTCGCGGTCCTCGGCTGCCACTGACGGGTGACAGGGGCCCCTGGGTGGAGGGTTCTCCTCTTGTCTCATACCAGTCTCCGTAACTAGGCTGGGGACCCCGACATCCTCCCTTCCCCAGGCGAGGTGAAGGAACTCGGCAAGGTCGCACGGCCGGGGACAGGCGGAGTCGGGATTTGAACCTGGCAGTCTGGTTCCTGAGCGGGAGCTGGGTTTCCTTTCCTTGGATGCTCCCGCGCACCTTGTGGTGGGCTGGGGGTGGGGGGCCGTGACCTGGAGTACAGGGTTCATACGCAAAATAAACAGCTAAAGAAATACTGAAGAGACATGAGATCTTAAACCATTTTAGTGATTTTTGGCACCAGTCTCTGCGAAGTAACACGTCAGGAAGGGACAAGAGTGTTGATGGCAGTAATCACCGATGTGAAACGCGCTTAGACTCGCGGAGGGCTTTTGAAAACCCGCTTGAGGACTTCACCAAGACGCAGGGAGAGAGGGGGCTTCCCCGGGTCAGAGTGTCTGGACTCAGGACTGGGCCGGCTCTCAGTGGCCTGGTCTAGGGCGTGCAAGACCTTTGACCCCTTCCGAGCCTGTTTCTTCCCCCGTGGGAAGAAGAAAGCGCGCGTGCTTTGCTTTGGGGATGGCACAGGGTTGCGTGGAACAGGCTTGGCGTGCTGCCCGGCCCGTGTAAACACTCGGCGAATCTCGCCGTGACGGTTCCCTCTCCCTGTCTGTGCCACCGCCGTTGATGACTGGCAGATGCAGGGCTCTAACCCGCCTTTGGGGGATTCTGAGGGATCCCTTGAAAAGCACCCCGTGAACTAAACGTTAGCTGCTTTCTACTTCCCGTATACTTTGCTTGGTCCTGTTGCTTTGTTTCTCTGCCTTTCTCCCCCTTTCTGCTCTCTAGCCACTCCTCTCTTGAGACCTCTTCCCTGTGATCTCTCAGCCTGGCCACCTACCCTGCAGACGATGGGGCTGGTCACTCACTTGGCCCTCCTGGCTCCCAAGCAACCCCAGATGGTACCTTCCTTGTTAATTGCTATTGAGAGGAAGGAGGAGACATTGTTTATTGTCAGGCTCAGACACGGCTGGCTCGTCAACTTGCTCAGAGTCACTCGGACCTTTACAAAACTCAAGCTTGTGTTTCTTTCACTATGGATACTAGCTCTCTTTACTTAAGACAAGCAGGAGGTTGCTGGATGCAGACATTTACCTGGAGGAAATGCACGGAGTGGGGATTGGTGGCTGGGCAGGTGTGGTCCCTGTTCTGAGCCGCCAGGGGTCCTCATGCACCAAACCAATTTGAGGGGCTTTATCTTCTCATCCCCTTCCTACCCCCCAAACAGCTCGTAGGCATCCAAAGCTGCTTCGATGGCATGTACCCTTCCTGTTAGGCTGGTGGCTGAGACTGGTGTGTGACTTGAGGAATCCTCAGTCACTGTCATCTCTGACAACACAAATCCATTCCTCTTCCTTCTCCAGAACTCTTTTCAGTTTCTTAGCAAGGTGATTCCAAAACACAAGAGCCCTCAATCCACATGCCCATCTGCTGGCTGGTCCAAGCACCTCTGGAACTACTGACCTTCTGTTTATTTCCCACGTCTGTCATGTAGGTCGTGTCCCTTGCTTGGTTTATTTTTTCCAGGAAGGGCAAAAAAGCAAACGTTGGAAATGGAACACTTTCTCTCTGGGGTATGTTTTCTATGGTTCTGGTGATGTTTCAGAATTGTCTGTCCCCAGGAAGAGGGTGAGGGAGTTTGTGGTTGTGCTTTTCCTTTATCTCAGGACTGAACTCCAATTCCTCCACTGGCTTCCAAAGGAGGGGAGATTTTCTTTGCTGCTAGTACAGATTAGCTGTGTAACTCCCAGGCCCAGTTCTAAATTCAGACTTCTTAAGCTGGGAAACTTTGAGACTTTTCAAACTCTATAAATAAAAGACAGTATTTGAAGTGGATTTAAAGCAATGGTCCGAAACCTATGGTGAGTTGAATAATTATTTGATCACATATTACAATGTACTAATAATAGAAATAAAGTGCACAATAAATGTAATGCACTTGAATCATCTGGAAACCATCCCCATTCTCCCTGGTCTGAGGAAAAATTGTATTCCATGAAAACCGTCCCTGCTGTCAAAAAGTTTGGGGAGCACTGGAAAGAAAACTTGTGCTCACAGGATATCATACAGTAAAGATTGAAAGAGTTATCAGTGACACTAAACTTGCAGCCCAGTTTCTAGTGATGTCGTCATCAATGACGTGTTGAGTACTGATTTGCAGAGGTACCTGCTTGGTGGCAGGCACTGTGCTGACTGTGGGAACTGTTTCCAGTGAATGACAAGTTCTTTCTGTGGGAGGCAGGGCTTGCCAAGAAATCGTTATTCAGTGTCCTATGAGGCAGGGTCACCTAGTAGTTGAAAGTGAGGTCTTTGGAGTCAGTCGTGGATGTATGCGATGGCAGTTGGCTGAGGCATTGCATGTCATGTCTGGTCCCACGCCTGTCACAGTAGGAACCCAGCCAGTGAGTGGTGGCATCTACGCAGACAGTACTGAGTGCAGGCATGGCATGGAGGGGTCACTGGAGGCTTACACGGCACTGTGCTGGGCAAAGTCACAGGAAGTTGGAGAGTGTGCCTTTCCCTTTTTGAGTTCTTTTGATGCCAGGAATAGGATGGACCACATAAGCCCTAGTATTTGGTAAGTGCTTGCTTTATATGCATGGTAGAGTCCTCACAACAGCCTTCCAGGGTGAGTACTATTAATATTATTAGCCCTCTGTTCTGGAGGAAAGAACAAAGTCAGAACAATTAAGTCATCCTGCCTAAGACTACACAGCTAAGAACTGGTGGAGTCGGTCTGACTTGAGCATAGAGCAAGAGAACAGATGAAAGGGTGGGCTAGATGCCCAGTGGGGGAAGGCATTTCCAGATCAGGAGCAGCTGTACACTCTAAAAGATACATGTCCCTTCTCACCTGAAGGTTCTGTGAAAGTCAGGCTCTGTGCTGACTTTGGTCAACTTTACATGTCCCTTCTGTTTAGGCAATTGAAGATGAAGGTGGTAATCCTGATGAAATTGAAATTACCTCTGAAGGAAACAAGAAAACATCAAAGAGATCCAGCAAAGGTATGGTGCATTTCATAAGCATGTGTCATATTAAGAGCTTTCTTGAAAACTACTTCACTAATGTTCCTCACTTACTTGGCTGTGTTTGGACGTGGGCACCACCCTGTGAATCAAGAGCCTTCAAAGAAGCTTTGCATTATTTCCTTGACGATCCCTCTACTGTTTTGTTAGCTTGGTCCAGCGGAGGATGGAAGGGATATTTGCCCCTTTGTTCATTTACTCTGTAGGTTTCCCAATAGTCCTTGTTAAAGTTCTTTAGGGAGAGAGTATCGGGCACTGCTTGACTCTCCTATTGGTCTGACCCACAAAAAATAACTTCTGTATTAGATACCACCCGGCCAAGACAGAATTGTCACTTACCTAGCATTTTTTTCCAAAAACTGCCTCTAGAGTAAAAGACACATTCAATGTGACATTAACGACTGCCACCATCTTACCCAGATCTATCTTTCTTATTCCCCACACCCATTCCCTGTGCTTTAGTCAGGCCCCAAAAACGTAATTCAACCCCCTTTGACCTCTGCAACTCCTAAGGTGAGGCGATCCTCTAGCCTCAGCCTCTGAAGTAGCTGGGTCTACAGGTACACGCCACATCTATAGTCCTAGCACTTTGGGAGGCTAGTGTGGGAGGATTCCTTGAGGGAGGCCAGCCCTTCAAGACCATCCTGGGCAACATCAAAACCTCTTGAAAAAATTTAAAAAGAATTAGGCAGGCATGGTCGCTCTCTCATGTAGACTCAGCTACTCAGAAGGCTGAGGCAGGAGAATGGCTGGAACCCAGGAGCTGGAGGTCACAGTGAGCTGTGATGGCGACACTGCACTCCAGTCTGGGTGACAGAGGGAGATCCTGTCTCTAAAAATAAAAATAAAACGACACCCCCAACAGAACTAAGTACGGGTCAATATTATGTAGTCTTAGTGTAAAGGAGAGCTTCTGAACATAAGGGCACAAACCACTGACACTTAAAAAACAGTTAATAGGTTTAGCTCCACAGCAGTGAAATTTACCCAAAACCCAGATGAAAGACTAAGGAATAATTGGAGGGGAGATATGTTGTATATATGATACACAGTTTCCAAGTGGGGAGAAATGGAGCAGAAGTTATTAAATATCAAAAAAATATAAATCAGAAAGTTTAACAAAAGTACAGGTGCTCAATAAGAAAAACTTAATCCAAGGAGTAATAAGATAAATTCAGGTTACAAGCAGTATTTCTGCTTTGCCTAGCACATTGGCAAGGCTAAAGAAAAATGCCAATTTTACAGAAGATTCAGGAACGTTGGC